AACAAGATGCATCTCCTTTTAAGGGAGCTCATCACCAAGAACTCCAAAGTTAAGCGTGCTTGCACGGGAGTAGTCTTGGGATGGGTGACCCCCTGGGAAGTTTCTCAGGGCGTGCACGAGTGAGGACAAAGTGCGCGTAAAAGGCTAGTGGCGGTTTGTGAGGACAGTACTATTGGTCCGGAGTAACTACCTCGGGTCCGGTGGGGCCGGGGTGTTACAGGTGGTATCAGAGCAACCCTACGACAGTGTGCTGATCCGTTGGATATCGGGCAGACACTTAGCAGGGGAAAAGATTCTGGGGTGTGATTGAGATTGGTTTAAGGGCGCAACGAGGACGTTGCGATCCTAAGTGGGGGTGATTGTAACACTTGAGATTTAATATAAACGGATTAATAGTACTACTCATACCAACAAGATGCATCTCCTTTTAAGGGAGCTCATCACCAAGAACTCCAAAGTTAAGCGTGCTTGCACGGGAGTAGTCTTGGGATGGGTGACCCCCTGGGAAGTTTCTCAGGGCGTGCACGAGTGAGGACAAAGTGCGCGTAAAAGGCTAGTGGCGGTTTGTGAGGACAGTACTATTGGTCCGGAGTAACTACCTCGGGTCCGGTGGGGCCGGGGTGTTACACCTTGGGCTTTTCAAAATCCCGTTTATCTAAATAGGTCAGGCCTAGCCCAACTCTTAAGCCTTTTTAGCTTAACAGGCCGACCCGTTTGTATGTGTTTATAAAACCCCAAATACTTCCTATATGAAATATAAGACCTAACTCAAGAATATATGCACTCGAATAAAATTTAGTCTGAATAACTCGTAGTAACACAGAGGTTTTACGAGTTGAATACACATTACTCTTACTTGAGGTAACTTGACTTTTCTATGGAGCTCATACTAACAACGCTCAAACATATTCTTACATAGATAACTCTTAACATAAATAACTACTTACTTGAAAGATGACGAACACGTGTACGGTGACAAATGAAGTTACAGGACAACCTGGGCTCCGATACCAAATTTGAAACGCCCCTCTCAGGGTTAAAGGAAACGTTTCACTAACATACTACTTTAAAAAAAATACTACAATATAACGGCTGTTTGACGTCATGCCCCTCCTGTGATAACGGAATTGAAACACATGTCTCTCCTGTGATAACATAATTGAAACTCGTGCCCCTATCTGAAAACAGCCCAAACCATAGTTACATTTTCTGTACTTTTCCCTAGTATTTTTATGGAGTGTGTTTTATAAACTAGAATAGAATACTATTATACACACACACACACATATATTTGATTTTTTTTACCCTAGGGGGCGTCAGGGGGAGGGGGTTTGGGGGGCCTGGGGTAAACTGGGATCAATCTCACTCCATTGAGAATTGAACTCGGGACCTCCCATAAGGGAGAGTGAGTTGGTGACCAACTGGGCTGGACCACTTCCTCTCTCTCTCTCTCTATACACACACACACACATATTTATAAAGTGTGTTAATGGTTTATTAAGGTAATTGAAATTCAAAGTTTTTCAAGATTTAAAGTACATAGAAATTTTTTTTCACTACATAATAACGTATTATTAGACATCCAAAGCAAACTAACGTATTATTAGACTTTTTAGTGAATATTTGAGGGAATATTTTTGAATTTTTTTTCTTAACAGGCCAAGTAAACCGAAAAAACCAGGCCAGGCCAAGCTAGGCTTTCAGACAGGCCAGGCTCAGGCCGAAAAACCAGGCCTTTAACAGGTAAAAGGCCAGGCTCAGGCCAATACATTCTAAAACGGACCCAGCCAGCATGTTTAGGCGAAAGCCTGACCTGGCCTGGCCTGTTTCCACCCCTAACTCTCCCCTTTCCTTGCTATTAAACACACAACCCCCATTTGCACCCCTAAGTGAATTTTCATGGACGGTAAGTGTGAGTCGTCTGAGAAGATTAGAAGTTGATTTATGTTTACTAATGGACTCCGTTGAAATGCTCTAAGGTACTCCGTTCGTGTTACTTTTACTGTAAAAATGAGTGAGTTGGTCAATATGAGGTTTACTCATATCGGGGTGGGGTGGGGTGGCGTTCTAGCCTTCACAGTACGTTAATGGGAACATAAATACAATATATTAACCATGATTATTTGTGTTATCATGACATATGTAAAAAATACAAGGATGATTTGGGTTTTAAAACTCTAAAAAACATTTATGTGTTAGAACCTAGAAAAGATATAGGAAATGGACACTTCTTAGTTCTAAATGATGACACAATAATGGAGGTGCTAAATTGTATTAGAAGATTGTCTGAATTGATGATATTGAGTTGTATGTTGATCATCAACTGGATGAACATCTTCTGAATCCCCCGATAGAAGGGTTTGGTGTGCTAGACCACAATGTTGAAAATGAGAATGGGTTGGGTTCTCAGTCTACTACTGAACATGAGAGAGACGAAAGTTCTGAAGTAAACACTGATGGTGTCCCAAATGGATATGAAACAGATGAAGACTTGAATGGAGGGCAAGAAGAGGAGGAGGAGAGCAACAAATCTGATGACTCCACAGATGATGGACCGAGAGAGAACTACTATGTGAATGATGGATCAAGCGGTTCTTTCAAGAATGGAATGACCTTTAAAGATGTTAAAGAGGTTTGCACATCATTATCTAATTATGGAGTGAGATTTGGTACAAGCTGAAAGTAAAACCGAATGAGAAGAACCAATTGGCAGTCAAGTGTCTTAATGAGGAATGTTGTCTGTTTAGATTGTGGGTATCTCAATGTAGCAAGAATTGTGGGCTGGCAGTCAAGGTTAGTAATATTGAAAATAAGTGTTTTAGGCAATATTCTATTCCAAGTTCTAACTAGAAGTGTTAGCAAATTATTTTAAAGGTCACCTGCAAAAACATCCTAGCTTCAGAGTTGCTGATATGAAAGAGGAGGTTGAAAAGAAGTTGAAGAAAAATGCGAGTTCTTACAAATGTAAAAGAGCCAAGAGGCTGATTATCCAAGAGATGTATGGGAGCTATAAGGCTGAGTTTGAGTATCTAGAAGCCTATGCTGCCACTTTAAAGAGAAGTAATCGTGGTTCGAAAGCTGATATAGAATTATGTAGTGCTGCATTGAAAGAAGGAAAGAGAGTGTTTAAATGAATGTTCATCTTTTTTGCTGCTTTGAGGCAAAGCTCTGTTTGGCAGGTTGTAGAAGGATCATAGGCGTGGACCGTTGTTTGTTAAAGGGTGTGTGTAATGGGATTTTGCTGGTTTCAGTGGGAGTTGATGGAGATGGACAATTGGTTCCAATAGTATAGGCAGTGTGTGACAAAGAAAATGAGTCCAATTGGAGGTGGTTTCTAACCTGGCTTGTTCAGGAACTAGACCTCAAGAGTGGTGTTGATTTAACCCTTATTTTTTATATGCAAAAAGGGTTAATCATTGCAGCTCAGGATGTAATACCAGATGCGGAACATAGGTTCTGTGCTCGACATGTTTATGCAAATTGGTCAAAAAGTGGAGCGGCGATCAGTTTTGCAAAAAATCTTGATATGTGCATGGAGCACATATGAATAAGAGATGCAAATGAACTTTTAAAGGCTTTGAAAATCAAGCAATGAAACTGCTTTTGACGTATTGAAATGTCCAATTCAAACATGGGGTCGAGCATACTTTAGTAGCCGAAGTAAATGTTGGGTGATTGATAATAACATCACAGAATCTTTTAATGCATGGATTCGAGAAGCCAGAGCAAAATCCATTGTGAACATGCTAGTTGATATGGTTTGGACATCCATTCTTGCTCCCCTCTAGGACCTTTCTGATAATGGCTATCATAAGTTACAAGAACATTCAAAGTTTTTCTTTGTAATCAGTCATCACTTGATCGCCAAAGATAATCATTTTACTTCATCTCTTCATGGAAATAGATGATTTTTTTGGTTTCGTTTTCTAACTAAAGGTCCTTATATCGACAAAAAGTTTGAAACGAGGCATCTTATAATGATATGGAGTATTAATTTTGGATCTCACTAGCATAGATGTAAATTTTATGTTTTTAGTTAAAAAGTTAGGTAGCATAAGCATAATCAGGCAAAGAAAACGAAGATACCACGATTGCACCGTTCTTAATATACAGGAGATCACCCGTGTGGTTCAATTCGATGTCATGATTTCAAGTACCAACAATCTACTTCATTCGAAATATCTCAATAGTCAATATTCTTCCTTGGTAATTGGTATGTCTACACACACACTATGATTTGTTAAAAAGATATCAATTTTTTCAAACAAATGCATACCATAGAGAATGAGCCTAGCTGATTGGGGCTGTATTTAGAAGAGGGTAATATAGATCATTTCAATTAAGTTTTTATAAAAATATTAATTTGTAACGGTTGATAGTCCCCAAAAAAGTTCCCCGGGCCCAAGCCCCCCTCCCCCGCCTCGTAAAGAATACCCAAGCTTTCGAAATTCAAAATGTAGGCCTATGAATGCAAAAGTTTATTAAGAGAAAAAGGTCAAATGAGGTTTTCTACTATTATGAAATCATCACATAAGATCATGCACTCAATAAGGTGTTATATAAATACGTCTACTTATAAAAAACAATCAGATGAGTCTTAATGACCTGTAAACAACCTTGTAATTCCGATTTTAGCGTACGCCTGACTATCTTTTCAAAATAGATTATGAGGGTGACGGGAAATAATTGGTAAAGATTGGCTTATTCAAGGCAAAAGTAATGACACATAGGATGTTTTCTTTTGGACTGTTTTCAGTCCCAGACCAGACCAGACTAAATCAAACCAAACCAGACCAGACTTGATTGCTTTTTATAAGTAGACGAATTTATATGACACTTTATTGAGTATATGATATTATGTGACGATTCCGTAACGATAGAAGGCCTTATTTGACCCGTTTCACAAAGTTTAACAAGATGCGTAGTATATTTAAAAAAATGTTTTGGGTTGGGCTTTTATCAGGGCCCTTAGTACTTTGCTTTCGTGAGAAGAAAGGTCAATTCCAATCCACAGATCCACCCCCAAACAGTTTTCGATCTTCTACTTCACAAACCTCTCGTTTCCCTGCAATCCGTATCTTTCTCATCAGAAGTGGAAAATGGGCCAGGGAACTCCCGGCGGTTTGAACCGGCAACTCCCCGGAGATCGTAAAAATGAAGACAAGAAGGATAAGAAGTTTGAGCCGGCAGCGCCGCCTGCACGAGTTGGTCGGAAGCAGCGGAAACAGAAGGGGCCGGAAGCTGCTGCTCGGCTTCCAACGGTTACTCCGCTTTCCAAGTGCAAACTAAGGCTCCTGAAGCTTGAACGGATCAAGGACTATCTACTGATGGAGGAAGAGTTCGTAGCTAATCAGGAGCGGTTGAAACCTCAGGAAGAAAAGACTGAAGAGGATCGATCCAAGGTCGACGATCTTAGGGGCTCACCTATGAGCGTCGGAAATCTCGAAGAGCTAATCGATGAGAACCACGCCATTGTTTCTTCTTCAGTGGGGCCGGAATACTATGTGTCTATTCTATCTTTCGTGGATAAAGATCAGCTCGAGCCTGGATGTGCAATTTTAATGCACAATAAGGTAGCTATCTGGTTAGATTTTGTAATATTTTTATGCTGAATTGCAATAATTTGTAAGTGATTGAACTATTAGCTTAGGGGTTTGTAGGAAGAATTGGTGACTCGTTTAGAACTGGTGACTCGTTTAGAACTGGTGTGTAAGGTCAATATGCTAATCATTTTTAGGTATAATTTCTAAGAGATAATGCTCAAATTATAGCTTTTCAGGGGGCAAAGATAGCTTCAAAGATAATCATATGGTTAGTAGAAAGGCAATGCATTTGGGTGTCATAAACTTTCAATAGGAGTAATCTATTTGAAACTTTGAAATTCCAATAACCTAGGAAACTTCATCTTTTTGAGTTCTAATCCATTTCCACTGAAAGGAAAAAGGCTAGCTAAACTAACTGAAGTATTATAGACCATGCATTTGGTGTTTTATATATTGGTCTTAAAATTGCTAATAGTTGTGCTCAAATATTTCTCTTTATTGGTGAAATTTTTTGTATCCGATTTGTGTTTTATTGGCTTAGACAAAAGGGGAGAACACGATTTATTCACTTATTCTTATTTTTATTAGCATATTGCCCCAATATTTTAGTCTTCACTTGTTTTTATTTTTCTTTTTTAGGTTATACGGAGTATCTATGATGGTTTTTTTTTTGCATTAAGAACATAAAATTGATGTCTTTAAATTTGACATTTTTTTCTTCTGCATTTCCAGGTTCTCTCTGTTGTCGGGCTTCTCCAAGATGATGTTGATCCTATGGTTTCAGTGATGAAGGTTGAGAAGGCACCACTGGAATCATATGCCGATATTGGTGGACTAGATGCACAAATTCAGGAGATCAAGGAAGCAGTTGAGCTTCCTTTAACACATCCCGAGCTGTATGAAGACATAGGTATTAGACCACCTAAGGGAGTTATTCTCTATGGAGAGCCTGGCACTGGAAAAACATTGCTTGCAAAGGTTTGTTCACAACTTCATTTCTGTTTGTTTCATTATAGTTGAGTTTCTTTGTCAACGAGGTAGGCTCAAGAGAGCAATGTTTTTCGTGACCGGGTGAACATAGTTTATCTATAGGAAAGAAAAAGATAGCACCTTTCAGATGATATAAGCTGCATCTGTAGAGCATTAGCAGATCAAAAAATATTACTTAACCTCAATAAATCTATTTTTGGTATTGTTTAAACTCGTTTTATTAATTTATATGCTACTCCGTATTTACAAATTCTAATAATTCTAAACATGCTCTAAAACTTTAAAGCATTAGTCATAGGTAAATTCAAACACAAGAAAGTAACTTCCTCTATCAATCTTTTCTCCTTCCCTAGCATTTTCCATGATCAAGCATACAGAGGCAGATCTAGCATTGGAATTGAGTGTGTGTGTGGGGGGGGGGGGGGGGCAAATTTTAATATACAAAAAAGTATATTGGTCAAAGTGAAAAACTCAAATTCTGGAAACAAAAGCTTTATTATAAAGGTGAAAGTAAAAAAATATTACCAAAATAAAACTGCAACTAAAAAACCTGAAATTGGCGCACTCCTGTCTCTAGCATCCGGCAAAGTAGAGGAGCTCCAAGAAGCCAGCAGCGAATAGAAGAGTTGCCGAACTGGCACACTCTGGCAGCCGGCAAAGTTAGAGTATGCGGCAGAAGATTTGGGCAGCGACCGCTGACTGCCAATGGCCAACCGGTGTGACTGTTTGAGACTCAGAAAGGTGAGAGCCGCGAAGCGCCAAAGAGGACGAGTGGACGACTAGACTTCTGGAGTTGCCACTTGCGATTTCTGACCTTCAAGAACTGAAGAGGATGAGGAAACGAAGTACGCTGCTTTGCACGTGTGATTGGGCTGTGTTTTTTAATTTAGGGGTTCTGGACTGACTGACGAGCCCATGGGCTGTCGATTAACAATTTTCTATTGTTTGAGACTTTGAGTGGGAGTAATTTTATTATATATATAACCTTTTAAACTTATTTTTCGATGCAAGCCTGGGCCCTCACTTGCCCTAGACCCAATCCACCGTTGCAAGCATACCCCTAATGATGAGATCAAGTATGTTTGTTTTATCATTTTTGTTGTAATGTATGAAAGTTTCTGTATAACAAGTATTGTTATGGAAGTTTTTGTATAGCATGTATTGTTATAATAATACTATCAAACGTTATTAGGTAATAATGTAATACTCCGTATAACATAAAATATTAGCAACTATTCATTATAGACTATAAATAATGTCAAATTTAGAAATTACTAATTGATAACCTAATGATTTCAATATATACTGAAGTTCAGATATTTTGCTAACATCAGTAATTCTAACTGTTAGTGTAGAATGTAGACCAAGGTTCCCAAAGTTGTAATGCGCTCTCAAGGTGCTAGACTCCTATATCGCATGAGGCTCAAAGCACACACCTGACTCATGCAAGGCACACAGTTTAATCCTAGATTTATCAAGCATGATATATTTAAAATATAATTAAACCACGTGCACCAAAATTGATATGTGCATAACAATTTTAATCTGTGATACTAGTCAATGCAAATTCAAAACCAAAGTTGTGATTTACCAGGTCAACACTTGAATAAAAAACTAAAATTGCAATGTGACTTAGGTTCTAACCCCAAGTCCCGACTCTCATCAAGGATCATACATGATAATTGATACATTTAAAGAGGATAAGTTTTTCCTATCATCTGGCTTATATTCTCATCACTATAAGCTGTGGTATATCTCCTAGTAAATCCCGTGGGTTCTTGTGCAGCCATGATCCTATTTTTTTTTACTAACATCACCCTGTGCTCCTATTCTGCTCCTACTACCCAAGTCCCTGCACCTGGGAACTCTTTAAGTGTACACCTAGTTGCCATGCCTGGTGTGCTTAAGCGGTGAGGCACTCACTTTTGACTACCCTGGTGTAGACTAATTAAAAATTCTACCAGCTATTGGCCATATACAAGCAACGCTCATGTTAGCACATTAGGTGGATCTTTTTCTTCATAATATGCTTTTCATATTTCTGGTACATTATACTAGTTTGACTATATGACTATGAATTTGTAATTTCTAAACTTGTTAGGATATGCATTTTCTTCTCTTCTGCTGTTGGTACAAAGAATCTAACAGATTGCATGTCTATGATCTTCAGGCAGTTGCTAACTCAACCTCTGCGACTTTCTTGCGGGTTGTTGGAAGTGAATTGATACAAAAGTATTTGGGGGACGGTCCCAAATTGGTCAGGGAACTATTCAGGGTTGCAGATGATCTCTCACCATCAATTGTCTTCATTGACGAAATTGATGCAGTTGGTACCAAAAGGTAAGCTTTGATATGCTTTTCAGGGTACAATAATACCGTGGTGCCCTTAATAAACATTTTCCTTGAACAGATATGATGCACACTCAGGAGGTGAGCGTGAGATTCAGCGTACCATGTTGGAACTGCTTAACCAGCTGGACGGTTTTGATTCAAGGGGAGATGTTAAGGTTATCCTCGCCACTAATAAGATTGAGAGCCTTGATCCCGCCCTACTTCGTCCAGGTAGAATTGACCGGAAGATTGAGTTTCCACTTCCCGATATTAAAACCAGGCGTAGAATTTTCCAGGTACTTTATATGCATGCATGGGCGCATAGCTTATTCAAAAAATTTTAACAAAGTAAAAAACAATCTTTAATTAAGTATTTATTATTAAATTGGTGATCAGATACACACGGCAAGGATGACATTGGCTGATGATGTCAACTTAGAAGAGTTTGTGATGACAAAGGATGAGTTTTCTGGAGCTGATATCAAAGCAATTTGTACCGAAGCTGGTTTGCTTGCTCTTAGAGAGAGGCGTATGAAGGTAAGTAGTGTCTTTGTTGCTAGTTGAGAATTTTAATTTATTTCCTGTAATAGAGAAATATTTAGTTAATGTATATGTCCATTTTCCAGGTGGTGCATGCTGATTTCAAGAAAGCAAAAGATAAGGTCATGTTTAAGAAGAAAGAGGGAGTCCCAGAAGGGCTTTACATGTAGTAGACTAGTAGTCTCTTATTGTCATTTGATCCCAAAAATATTTTGTACTGTGGCAAGTTTTAATGACTTCTTTTATCCATGTGGGTAATTTGTGCGAAAACATGCAACTCTCTGTCTCAGTCTAAGAACACTCCGGGTTTTCACTATATGAAGTTCCATTGCTCTTTTTTTCTTATTCCTTTCTTGGTTTCTGGGACGGTAAAGGAGCAGACCTCCCGGTTTATTCTGTCACTCAAAGGTTTAACTCTTAAGTTCTTTTGCCTCTTGTTTCCATTATAATCCAATCACTATTCTTCATGCTTACAGACTTACAGTCGATCTTCCTATTAACGCTATCAGTTAGTGAAATTCAATTGTTTGTATGTTCTCTCCATTATTAACACAATCACTAGTAAGTAGTAACATTCAGGAGTGTAGCTAGGGATGGACTGGGCCGGGCCGAACCGGCCCGGAACCGGACCGGCCCGCTACTGTGCGGGCCCGAACCGGACCGGGCCCGGTTGGCCGGTTCCGGGCTTTTAGCCCGTTTTGGCGGGTCGGGCGGGCCGGTTCCGGGCCCTGTTTTTGTTGAACCGGCCCGGGCGGTTCGGGCCGGGCCCGGTTCATTTTTTTTTTTTTTTTGGTTTTTTCAATTTTTTTTCTTTTCCTAGGGTAGGGCTGGGTGTTTTAGGGAGGTTTGGGGCGTGGGGGTGAGGGGGGGGGGGTAGGGAGATAACAAGAAAGTCAAAAAAAAAAAAAAAAAAAAAAAACATTGAACCGGGCCCGGCCCGGCCCGGCCCGGTTAGGCCCGGACCCGGTATCAACCCGGGCCGGTTCCGGGCCCATGTAACCCGAAAAAAAGCCCGCCCGGGCCCGGCCCGGAACCGGAACCGGCCCGGCCCGGGTCCATCCCTAAGTGTAGCCATGAAATTTATTACTCCGTATGATGATAGATTGCTAGATATGATGTATGAACATAAGCAAATACGCCGTATTTAAATGGCCAAAATATGATATTGTCTTCAACTCCTTTAGTACAATTCTGATCGATTACATTATTACAATTCTGAGTTTCTCACTAGATGAGTGTAGGGATGGACTGGGCCGGGCCGAACCGGCCCGGAACCGGACCGGCCCGCTACTGTGCGGGCCCGAACCGGACCGGGCCCGGTTGGCCGGTTCCGGGCTTTTAGCCCGTTTTGGCGGGTCGGGCGGGCCGGTTCCGGGCCCTGTTTTTGTTGAACCGGCCCGGGCGGTTCGGGCCGGGCCCGGTTCATTTTTTTTTTTTTTTTTGGTTTTTTCAATTTTTTTTCTTTTCCTAGGGTAGGGCTGGGTGTTTTAGGGAGGTTTGGGGCGTGGGGGTGAGGGGGGGGGGGGTAGGGAGATAACAAGAAAGTCAAAAAAAAAAAAAAAAAAAAAAAACATTGAACCGGGCCCGGCCCGGCCCGGCCCGGTTAGGCCCGGACCCGGTATCAACCCGGGCCGGTTCCGGGCCCATGTAACCCGAAAAAAAGCCCGCCCGGGCCCGGCCCGGAACCGGAACCGGCCCGGCCCGGGTCCATCCCTAGATGAGTGCATACTTCTGAAAGGGTTATATGAATAATTGAATTAAACTACCCTTTCTGTATAGAAGTTTTATATATGTATTTGGTATTATTTGAATTGCGCATAAGAACCTTTATTAAAAGGGAACTGCAATTGTTTAAAAATGCAGTGGAAAATCAAATTAAAGTATTCAACTAGCCACAAAAGTTGTATTCCATATTTCCATAGTAGTAAGTTTTACAAAAAGCGCTTGCAGTGAACTGTGAACACCTACGATTTATTATAAACCCAACAATATATTGAAAGAATACAAGAAGTTCAGATAAGAAGGTAAAAACATATAAACCCAACAATATATTGAAAGAAGCTACGTTTTCTTCAATTTCACCAACATAACATACAAACGTAACTTACGGATGCTAAACTAAACTAGCATACCAAATCCACTCCATCTAATAACAAACTAATAAAAGCAATACTTAAAAAAATAACAAATTATCCAAAAATAACATGGAGTAATAGTTGTTACATTCACTGCAAATAGGGGTCTTGGGGGGTCGTATTTCAAAAAAATACAAACATATCAAAAATCAGATTAATCTTCTTCCGCATTGGTGTCGTAATCTTCTACATGACGGTATAGGCGCTTGCCAAATGTGTTGTGAGAAAGAGTTCGACGTTGTGCCTTAAGAACCGCAAGAAGAGATTGATAAAGCCCGATATCATCTGTCTGTATGTATAAACGTAAAATTGCATGATAAGATTAATATGAAGAAACAATCAATATTGCAATTCAAATTAATAAAGATGAGTTGTTTACCTTTGCAATCTCAATAGCTGTTTGGATTACATAATTCCCAAACCGATCACATGCTAGACGCGAAAAATTCTGTTCACTGCTTACGATGCACTCAACTATCGACTTCAGTCCGTAGTGCGAAGTTTGTATGCATTTCTCGATAACATGATGTCCACTCTTCTTAAGAGCCAAATGCATGCAACTCCTCTTGAGGCGATCACAAATTTTTTGCGTAATCTCTTCATTTTTAAGCATGAGCACTTCTTGTACAACTTGATTCCTATTTTAAGGGAGGCAACAACAAGTTTTACACTACAACAAAATTGACTTTTTGTAACACTTTATTTGTAACACTTAATTTTTTGTTACATATAACATTTAAACTTATAATTATGTAACACTTACATTTAAATGTTGCAAAAACACATGAATCACACAATTATGCAACACGTACCGTAGAGTGTTACATAATACCAAATATTATGTAACATTATTTTCAAAGTGTTGCTTTTTATATTAAATACAATCACAAATTATACTTCATATTTATGTGATATTATTGAACAATTTTGCATTTCGCTTGGGAATAAACATCTGGCAAAGTAAAATTTTACTCCGTATTTGTTGAATTAATTCAATAAATAATTAAATACGCAGCTAAATAGTAAATACTCCTTACGAAAGTAGGGGTGGGCACGGTCCGGTCCGGTCCAATATTTGGCCGAACCCGTACCCGTACCGTTACTATTGAAACGGTTCGGTACGGTTCGGTCTTAGACCCAAACCCGTTCGGTACGGTCCATTTTCAAACGGGACGGTACCATGCCATACCAATACCAAACAATGCCACTTTTTCCAGGTGTTTAAGAAAAAATTAAAGTTTAGCCATCCTCCAAAAATCCACACAATTTATCAATTTTCATATATCATACTACTTTAGTTCCAAATTGATTTGCAAAGTCAATCTTTTTTTGGTCAAACAATTTCTTTTTATTCACTTAATTAGAATTTCACTTTTTAATTATATTCTAATTTGACCTTTCAAAAAAACTACTCCATACTTCGTATATTTTAATTTGGATTTTGCAACTTTAGAGAGATTTTAATGTGGTTTCTAAATATGTAAATTTTAATTATTAAAAATTGTATTAATTATCAAGAACTTAACATTAACTTTGACAAAAAAAATGTTGGCTTTGCAAATCAATTTGGGACGGATGAGGTAATTAATATATTTTAGATAAACTATAGTAGTACAAATTTAATAAACCATACTTCAGTCCGGTTCGGTCCGGTACCGGTTCTCATTTTATGAGAACCGGTCATGGCATTGTTTGGAACCGGTTCGGTCCGGTTCGGGACAAAAAATTTTGAGATCCGTTTCAAACCCCGTTTATCGGTCCGGTACCATACCGGTCCGGTTCGGTATCATGCCGGTTCGGTATTTTTGCCCACCCCTATACGAAAGTATGAAACTGCAGTTTATCATACTCTGTAATTCTGTATCACTCTCGTTTTAACTGCTAACACTATTTACGATTTAAAAAATACTGCTAACACTATTCTTAATTATCCTTGGTATTTTCCCAAACCTAATTGAGGAGGTGAAGCACTCTCAAAAAATGAGCGCAGATGAAATCAGAAGTGGACTCTACTAAACTAGATTCGATCGCCGCTCTTTCACCGTCGCCCGCCCCTTTTTCTCCGTTCCCCTCTTTATCCGTCGCCCGCCGCTTTCACCATCGATTGCCGCCTTTCATCGTCGATCGCCGCTCCTCTGTTGAATGTTTCTCCCACGGTAGCAGCCACCATTCTTCCATATGTACACCGTACACCACTGCTCTCAATCTCTAATTTGGTAAAAATGTCGTTTAATTAGCTTTATATACATGAGGATATGAGGTGCCTAACTTTTTTATGATTTGAGTTGGGTTTTTGTTCACTATTTATGAAAGATATGTTTAGTTGCTTTAAATTTGATGTAGAGCTTGAATACTACCAACCCATGAATCCAAGGCTTACAAAAATGATCCTATTTCTGTAAGAATTCCCATTATGCTATATATCAAGGAGTGCATATTAAATTGTTTTATGTTCTTAAGGTTTAATTATTGTATATTTTTGTGTAGATTTTGTTTAGTTGCTTTATATTTGAATGTCTTCCATGTGTTTGTTAAAATGCCCCTTTGAAATTTCATTCTAGCGGATGGTTTAATCTGTAATAACCTTTCTATAACTCAGAGAGCATCACCTGGTTATATATACGGGATATGGTGTTTGTGTTTCATACTCCTATTAATATTAGAATCAATCATTGAATTAAAAATATACCATTGTGTCTATTAAAGGAGTTGATGGTTTTCAGTATGGGTCTATTATATTGGAGGCTTAATACTTTAGAAGAAGAAGAAAAGTTTTTTATGTATCTCCAACATTGAAGAAAACTGCATATCGATTTAGAAGAATTAAGAAGTTTTTTGTATTGACCTAAATCTGTACTAAAAACACCATATCCAAAAAAGTGTGGGGACGAAGACATACAAAAAAATTAAGAAAATTGCCGCTTCACCACTGCTGATTTGATCGCCGCTCTCGACTTCCCTGTTTAGGTAAATATGCCTCGTTTTGGTATATACATAGTATTAGATTTTTTTGTATTTATTTTTTGCTATGTATTTGTTGTTTTATACTTTTTCAACCAAGAAACAAGTTTTACTTATTCTTTTTGCATTCCACTTACACTAACATTCTCACTAATACAAAGCATAATTTCTTAATATATGTTTGCTTTTCTAAATACGTAATTCGTTCATACTTAAATGAGCTAAGAGAGTTCTTTCTTTCCCATCATGGTGATTTTTGATACTTCTAACAAAGTATCAATAATATTATACGCACTAATAGCACTTTTAAAAGGGAATATTTTGAAAACTTTAATGTAAAGACTCCAAGTTTTGAGTTCTTTTTTAATTTGGTCTTTCAGTTCTTGATAAGTAATAGAACTTTTTATTATAGATGTCTGATCTACTATTCAATAATTTTTAG